AATATATATACATAATATATACATAATATATATTATATATATATGAAATCACTTTTTATAAAGTACAAGTTAATACTCAAGTATACTAAGTGCAATATAATTTTAATTTCATAGTAACTAGAAGTGTCATTCCCTTCTATCCAAGACAACTGAAAACTATTTTGAGCTCTAATTGTCTCTGACTGATAGCAGTCCTAAGTCTCCTAAAGTAAGATTTTATAAAGTGTTGTCAGAGAAAGCATTGTTATAGAAAGCATGTACCTGAGCATTCTAATTGCTACAGCACTTTACAGTGGTTAATCTCTGTTTTAATTCCCTTAGAGTTAAAAAAATGCATGAAAAAGTGTCACCCCAAACCAGAAAACCCCCACACTCACAAAAAAAAAATCTCTCCCCCTCCAATAATATAGGGATAGATTTTCAAATAAAGCATTATTTCTCAACCTCATTCCTAGACTTTAGAATTTTTGGAATCCTTGTTTTTACAGTTATCCATTAAAGCACTCAAGTGCCTTACTGTTATTAGAACTCACACTGACTGGAATGATGTAGTTCCTGAAGCACAAGTACCAAACCCCTTCCTAAAAGCAGAGACATCAACACACATGCTGAAACCTAAAACCACGGCTGGTTCATGCTGAAACACAATGGCTGGAAATTACTCTGATGTCTACCCCTAGAAAGATTTGATTAGTCTCTGGTTAGCTGCTTAAAGATATAAAACTTACCTGTCACCTTGATTATTTCTATTAGCTAGTTTTCGAGCCTGCCGATCCATCAAGCTTGTCCTAGAGCGAGTTTTTTTCCAAGAATAGTAATATTTTACAAGGCTTGCAATAGTCTTGTCTGGAAGCTAGAAGAATTCATTAACACGTTAAGAATTTTTAAACTGAAAATTCCAGCCAGGATTACAGTGCTGGTGTATTTACAAACACCTTTACCCAAATATTTTAAATGCATGGATGACATGCAAAGGAGGGATGTATTTAATATACAGTTTTTAAAGGGGGGGGGAGGGGGTAGGCTTTTTTTATTAGAGTGAAAAAGCTGTAGGTCAAAGAGACATTTTGAAATTAACTTAAATCTTACATTCAAGGTTGTTCCTGAAACTTTTACACAGCAATCAACGTGAAATTGTAGCCCAACAGGAAACTTTGTTCTTAGTGCATGTGTACTGTTTAATGCTTGTGATTAAAATATTACTTTACCATTTGCTGGATCCTGTGAAAGCTCTTTCCATGAAAGCTAAAGGCTTGTTCAAATAGGACTTTATCTTCAACTGTCCATTCATCAGGGAAAGGAGTGAAGTTTGGGAGATCCGCAAGGGACTTCTCAATATTGTGTTTATGCCAGAACAACATGCCGAGAGCCTTTGAAAAGAAATAGTCCCTTTCTGGATTTAGCAAAATTTTCAAAATGTTGAGACAAGTTAAATTAAAAAAAAAAAAAAAGGCAACTTATATATTTAAAATAAGATTTGACTATGAGAACACCTTCTCAAAATGTATTTACTACTTTACTGGCTATGCACTACAAGTTACAAAATTCTCTTCGGAGACAATATTAAGAATTTGGACATCTTATTAGAGTTGTGAAAGCTAGACAATTTAAGCTTGGCATGGCAGCAGTAGTTCTGAAATATAATGAACTAGCTTGATCAGCTCAAATATGACCTGCTTTCTTCCTTTGCAAGCATGTATCACCTACACAGCTCCTTACAGTTCTTCAGGCCTTTATTATGAGCCCACTCAAAAAAAGAAAATAAAAATACTTTTCAGCAGCAAGAGGATAATGCAAAATGCAAGTCTGAAAGCTCAAAGTAAGAGTGGTCTTTCTACAACTCTCCAATCCATAATAACTGGGCAAACATGGCAAACTTCTTTTCTTGATATTTTGCAACTGACACAAACCTCTTGCATAGATAATTTCTATTCTACTGTCAGGAGTCTACAAACACTTTGTACCAGAAATTGTTTTGAAAATTAGTCAGTTTTGTAGACTTATATTGAGATCCTCAGTTCCCTCTCTCTCCTTACAAAGGCAAAGCTATAAACAAACACCACCAAACTGCAGGTATTCTGGACATCCTAACATTGGCAGCTTCTTTTTCAGGTAGCAGCTGACTAGCTAGTCTTTGCTATTATGAGCTTCCATCCTCCAAAACTTGATCATACAACTTGTTTCCACTTGTACACCAATTTTTTTTTTTTTTGCAACAGGCAATACAACTTTTACATAAATTAGTTAATTTGTGAAGAAGATGGCAACGGACCTAAGTGCAGACCAGCAGAATTTTATACTGTAGATTTTATGGGAAGTTAATGAAAAAGGTGACCTCATTTGTTATTCTCTAACCTAGAATTCAATTCTGTTTTTCTGCCTCCAGAAAAAAAACACTTAAATTTGCTTTGCCTCTTCTTTTTTTTTAGAAAAAACACAAGGCCCCTTTCCAGTTATTGCAATTAATGGTTCAAAATTGTACCATATTTGAATTCTAGCATTAAATTTGTAAGCTAGTTTCCTAAGAAGTTCTTTATTTAAATATACACACACAATTGCATGACATGCCCAGTGTATCAAGAAACATACCAAACCTTTCAAAAGTGCACATTACAAGCTGAGCATGTCATGAAAACAAAGAGCTCAATCTTTTGCAGAGAATCCAGACCACAACTGTATGCAGATCCATTTAACTGCAGTGTTTGCTGCCGTGCCTGAAGAGAAACAGTGTTAATTAATGGTAACCAAGGGGGAAAAAAAAAAAAAAGACTTGTGTTATACTTTTATATAAAAAAATCCTTTAAGTGAGCACTCTCATTCCACAGCACTTACCTGTTCCACATTGTATCCATGTTTTTCTTTTGCTATTGCTATATATTCATCCACTGTAACAAAGCAATGTCAGAATTATTCTTTAGTACTTTTAGTTCTGCTACAAGGTGACACAGAATTAGCCTAACATGGGAGAAAAGTCTTCCAATGCTTAAATACACTGCATAGGCCCAAGTTCCCCAAAATATTAAATATATTCATAGCTTTATTAATAATAAATAACCCCACTGTCTTTAATCCAACATTTAATTTTATAAACTTTTTACACAAGCCAATTCTAAAAGATGCTGCTTTTCACATTTTTTTGCTACAACAAAGCCACAGAGACTCATTATTTATTTAAACCAGAGACTAGCTGGTTATTGAAGGCTATGTAGTCTTGGAACCCAATCCTAAGAACACAGACATGCTGGGGGGAATGTCCAGACACCTGGGTTAGTTTTAAATTAAACTACTTTTACAGTTCCCATTTCAAAACATGCTAAGAATTCATGTAAAAAGATCCTAGATCAATGATTATGCATATCCTTGATATTAATGCAATTTTCACTGACCAACATTATTTTTAGCTCTGGCATGAAGTCAGATTTCATTAGAGAATATGAAAATTCAATAGATCAAATTCACCAACACTGTATTTTTAGAATCATATCTGGCCATAGTAGAGCCAGCTTTGAGCGGAACACCTTCCATCATATTGCCATTAAGCCCTGCTAGTTTTGATCTTCCCTTGGTACTTTTTTCATTTTTAAAGAAACAAACTCTTCCCATTCACTTTCTATGGCTCACAAGTAAGTGCCAAGCAAATGAATTTGAAAGAATTACTGAGAAAAGGAAATAATTATATCCTCATTATTCAAATGGACCAGAGATGTCCATGGCATGAAAAAGTGCAATTAATAATCATAGCTGTAGAATATTTTATTTCTAACTGTTCTGCAGTAGTAGAAAGTATGTTCCCTCAATTATAGAGGGACACACACCTCTAACTACTGGTGATAGGTAGAAATTGTCCTGAGGACCAGGTTTTCATGACTGCATCCTCTGTGTACTCCCCTGTATTACATACAGGACATTCTGGAACAGAAGGCAGATTCAAGCGAGGTTAAACGGCTTATTGATCACATATAGTCAGATGACTCCTGTGTTTCAGATTACTTTTGAAGGCAGAAAATGCTCAGTTTTTCCTGATAAGACAGCAGTAATAATTTCCCCTAGAACTGAGTCTCAACACATCTTTTCTGAATTTATCCACTGCAACTCCAACTAGAAATTTAGAGTAGCAAGATCCTCATGTTTACATGTTTTGTTCCTTTGTTAATAACAAAAGGATTCACAGACACTGATGATGAGACAACACCAGCAGTGTTATTTGAAACAAAGACATAAGAAAATGTGATTTTTGCTTTCGCTGGAGTTCTCTAAATTAAAAAAAAAAAATAAAAATTAAGAAAAGCCTTTGTGTTTAATTTACCGTTTTGCAGGTTTGCTGTGTGTAAAATCAAAAGCAAACAGATACAGCAGAAACAATGTAGCTGTACTTAAGCTTCCAAATTCCTAAGCAGGGAAGGACTTACACTTGGCATCTGGAATATTATGATATGGAGACCATACAAGCATCCCTCCATTATCTTTATCAGTGTATTTTGTGGCACCTGGAAGAAAACAAGTAAGTCTCAGTATTTATAAAAATAATTTAGAGAACAACTATTTACAGGACAATAAGTCAAACATATTAAGAAGTCCAGCCCAGCTACTAAAGGGGAGGGGAAAAAAAAATCATTCATTCTCTAAAGACATCAAATGGCTGAATCTGAACACTACTCCTACGAGGTTCAGTCATAACTGGGTATTAGACAGGACCTGTGTTACCACAACTGGAAGTGGGGTGGACTTGGGGGATTTATTTGCACTTTACCTCCACCTCAGTGCAGCAAGGGAAGCAATCTGAGTTACCTATCAGGAGGACAGAGTAATTTTTACAGTACTGATGCAATTTTATACAAAGCACTAAATCGCAGAGTCCAATTTTCAAACATTATGAAAGAAAAGGAAATTTCCCAATACTGGGAAAACATTCATTAATAGTTACTTTTCATGAATATTTTAAAAATGTGTGCTACTACATAGAGCCTCCTACAATCTATTTGTTTACAATAGATTATCTTACTAAGACATTGCTTGATGACTGGAGCATTTACACTTGTATCAGTACAAATTCCTTGAGGAATCACCCTCAGAGGAACTGTCCTTGTATTCCTCCTGGAAAAGGTCAGATTTTGTTTTTATTCAGTGAGACAAGTAGCTTTTCACTCCATTTTAAGCTTCCACACTTTATATTTGGGTTCTGTATCTTGTTGAAGGAAACAGATCAATGCTTTGGAAAAGAGAACAACTTAGTGCTTTCTAATTATGTACTATGATTTGTTGCTCTTCTCTCTTTAGTTTAGCAGCATTTTGTATTTACTATCATCTCTGCGATCTTTAGATCTATTATGACTGTGAACTTGAAAACCAGTTAATTAGAAAAATTAAAAGAAGTTGCGCATCTTCCAGAATGAGATGCATAAGATGGAGAACCTAAATGCACCATAAACTCTCTAACAAGTTAGAAATGTACATACCTTCATAAAGAACCATTTTCAAGGCATAAGCAGTACTAAACTCTGCAAAGGTTTTGGAATCTGAGAACAAATTCCTTAATAAAACACTCTACTTTAGAACAAAAGAAAAGCATGCCATTTTTAGTCATTAGGAATGCGTTATTTCTTGGAGAGTAATGCAAACATGTTACAAGCACAACATTTCTCTTGGCCACTTAGTTATTTTATCCCAAGTAAGTGACTGCTACTCTATTCCACTCTTTAATCTTAAAGATGAGGAGAAAACAGGACCACTTGGGAATGCACCAGATTTTCAGGTTGTGAGCAAGAACTGTCTAAACTAAACAAGAACACCCTCACTTTTTCCTTCCAAAATAAATACAAAGTAGACTCCTGCAGATAAATGGATATCATAGATATTATCACATATTGAATATTCAAGTACTAACGTGAGAAAACGGAGTTTCAGAGTGCTATCATTTGTGCCTGCAGGAGATCCTGTATGTGGTGACATTCCCCTGCTGAGGTGCCACCCTCGTGTGACCAACGAGCAGGTCCCACTAGAACAGCCCTTTTTGAGGCAGCGATGTTTCTCCATCAGGAGTGAGACAACTCTTTCCATTCAGGTGCCATCTTGTTGCCAAAAGCAAGGATGACAAAAGGAAGGATGGGATACACACAGGTAGCTCAAAGGAAGACATCCTGTCCTCAGAACAGGACGTCCAGAGCTACATAGGTTCACCTTGATACACAGGACCATGACCTGCCTTTATGAGAACTGCTTCTTGACCTTTGCGCCCCAAGTATCCAAGTGACCAGCACCCCAAAAAAGCTACATTGTATCTCAAGGGCAACACAATCTTTATGTACAAGATCCATCCACGTTATGGATAGTGGCTGGAAATACCAGGCAACATGTTAACCAAAGCACGTTAGAAGAGTAGAGGTGTAAGCTGATAAGGAAGAGAAAGACCATGATCTACATCTCAAATCTAACAAGCGTTCCTCTGTGCAAACCCACATGCAAGCCACTTAGGAAGAAGTTTCTGTACTTCAGCTGCTGCACTCCTCTGCTAATATCACTTAGAAAATGAGAACAGCTCATGATGACCCACAGGACTCTCCATGGCTTCCAGAACAGAGAAACTAGCAGCAAACTGACACCTTCTAAATTTCAGCTTGGCATCAGAAGTTCAGTACACGTGCATGATGCTGTTCTGTACATGACTTCAAGTACTGAGAATAAAATGAACATCTGGAAGCATACAAGACTTAGTAAGAACATTGTGGGGCAGCATGGCTATGTGAGAGCAGACACACTTGGCAATGTAAGATTAGAGAGTAACTTGGTTTCCAGCAAACAAAATACCATCATCAGCTTAAGAGTAAAGCTTGAGAGCAGGAACACAAACTAGCAGGAAGAAGAACTAAATTTCTAAAATAAAGACCTGGAAATCTTAAAAATAAGTAAATAAGCAAACAAAAAAATCAGGGAACGTGAGGACAGATGGTATGGAATAAATGGAAAACTGTACATACTTTACCACACCATTTAACTTCAATTTAAGAAAGCTTATTTTCATATACGACAAACAGAGAGAGAAAGTTCAGGGGACATACACAGAAATGGATTCCATGATGTTCTGCCAATGACTAGGCCCAACAAGAACGACACAACCAGCAGGAAGAGAAACCATTAAGCAGACTGTACTGTAAGCAAAAACGTCGTAACGTGAATGACCGCCAGGGGTACAAACAAGTCAAACAGCTCGTATAGAATTGACGCCACCCCCAATGATCCCAGAAAAGACATAACTCAGCCCACAACAGGTGGTATGAACAGAGAACCAAGGTTTCCCATAGCTGACAAGGGAAACAGCCAGACCAGAAAGCTAAACATATACGACACAGGTGCCCACATGGCGACTCTCACCCGATCCACCCGCGTTCACAAAGGTCTGAACAGACCAGGGCCCAGCTCCAGGAGAGTCAGGAGGTCTGCCCTGAACCAGGCAGCTCTGGGGAGGGGACTCCACAGACAGACACTCCTGACTCCCTGCCAGTGGTCCCAGCTTTTATCCCCCAGCAGAGCCCTGACCTTTGTCAGCTCCCTGCGGGACCCCTGGGGCTCATTTCCCTTCTGGCTCTCCCTGCAGGGCCGGCCGCACCCTGGGGGGAAGCTCTAAGGCAAACTCACCCCTCTGGATGAAGGGCTGTGGGGATCACCCATATGGCAACCTTAATTTGGGGGCTCGGGGTTCAAACCCCAGCATTTCACATGAGTGACCCTGAAATGTATAAAACATTCTTCTGGAGAGCCCCCATTGCCAATGAGAGGGTAAATGGGAAAAATAAGTATTTCAGCACTAAGTAAGTAAAATTCATACTAAAGCCTTTGGAAAGTCCAAATCTGAATAGAGTAAAACCTCCAGCAGTTGTCTTGCACGTGGATGATGGCAGTGTGATGCATCTCCAGTGATGGCACTCTCCACCATGCTTTCCAAGAGAACGCAAGCGGCCCTCAACATGAGGGTACCAGCTTTGTACCATCCTGCTGCATCGATAGGTGCATCAGGAAGTGCAGGCAGAAACAATTTCAGCTCAAGAATATAAAGTATTATAAGGAAACTTGCAGGAGGAGACTGTTTATTAACTCAGGAACTTAGGTGAGAGATTCAGGACTTTTTATTTCATTAGAGCCATTTTTTGCAGTGAGAAAATCTACTCATCTCACTGCAGTAGTATCTAGTGACAATTAAAAAAAGCTATTTCCCTTACAGCTCTATTCTTGTAAAATTCTACAACACTTGCTTGGAAAAAGGGAAGGGTGGGGGAAGGGGTTAGAGTATCTTTAAACAAATTTCTCCTAATTGTTGCTTCCAACCACAATCCACTTCTTCCAAGAGACACGGACAAACAGTGTCTGTAATAAAACTCTTATTTTATACCTGAATTCAGGTTTAAAAAGAAGTACCATTACAACTTTAATCACTAACGTTTTGTTCTTCGACTTATTGTGACAGAGCATCACTTACAAGTATTTTTCACTACAGGATTGGTATTTATCCCACTCATTTTAGTATCTGTGCATGTGTACCAGACGGAGGACGTTGTATCCCTTTTAAGATGGGATACATCCTAAGAGTCCCATTAAGACTTCTGCCTAATTTCATCTGTCACTGGTTTCCTTCTTCGCCTGTTTTAAGATGGTTAAAACAGCACTCAAAGTAGTGTAAATATACACACATTCTAACATATCTGTTAAACTCTTAACAAAATGCATTAAAACAATTCCAAGAAGAAACAGCATTAAAGTTAGAGATAGTGCCTATGTCCATACATACAAACCTAGGAGTATGATGGAGCATACTTCAAGGGTTTTTTTACAAAAAAAAAAAAAAGGTAATTAAGTGTAGCTGTAAGAGCACAGCTTTTTGTCCAGCATTACTTCTATCTCTAAGAAATCATGCCTCAAGACTCATGAGAAAACAAAACAATGCTCAGATGAAAGCATGAGATCTTGCTGAGATCTCCTCGGATAAGTTAATTTACAAATTCAAAAAAAAAATAAACTTACAAATTTTTTAAAGAAAACTTACAAATTTATAATTTTATAAGACTTAAGTGTTGTAAAAAAGTTACTATCTTCTTACTGTAATAATCAAAATGCACAACTAAGAAGAAAAATACTAGACATTATGCCTCTTACACAAGCCTTATTAAAGAAAGATTTCCATCATTAAGGAAATGGATAAAGTAGTATATATTACTCCCAGTTACTGGGGAAAGAAGTATCAGTTGAATTCCATCCCCCTGGAACACTCAGGAGCTCTAAACATTCTGGTTATAAGCATCAAATTAGATCTGTAGTTACAAATGCAATGATACTACTGAATATATAGTTTACAAAATTGAAACCACAGAACCTCAGTTGTAGAGGTGAAGAGTTCTTTTAATCAGAAGAAAAACAAACACTATTGTGTTTTTCTGATTTAAAAGGCTTGTAGGAAAAACAAGCCTAGGCTGCAGGTTAGGATCAAATTTTTTTTTATGTAGGCAATGTAAAAATAAAGGGTGTAAGTGGTTAGCCTCATTAACAAAGAGACCTAGACTACGTGCTTCTTTCTAGGGGAAAGGCATTCCCTTATACCAAGATCCCACCCTCCCCTTTTCTCTACCCCAGCCTTTTCTTTGGTCTGTGGGGACTTGTGCCCATCAAGAGGGGCTCACTCCAGCTTTAGGAGGCACTATGTGAGAAGCTCTGGCCCAATCCTCTTCCAGTAGGAAATCATCTGTCACCAATGGAGCCTGTTTGGAGAACAGGAAAGTCTGTTTGGAGAACAGGCTTCATCTGACCGCTACAGCAAAACTGATAAACGCTCCTACGGTCTCGCTGCTCAGCATAGTAACACAAGATAGCGTTTGAGCAATTAACTTGCTAAAACCGAACACCAGGCTGTGCAAGCCTACCCAATATTCCTGGGGAGGAGGGGGCAGGTGAGGAAGGCGGAGGAAGGAGGCTCAGCCTGCAACAGCGGGCTTAGCGAGACTACTACAGCACACAAAACCAGGGGCAGGAGTTCTCCATGAAGCGCATCTTCTACCCAGAGACTCCAGCCCGCAGCCAGGTCCGCTCTGCTTCCGGCACGGTGCATCACTTCCCACCCTTGACCGAGAACATCCATCACCCCTCGTGAAAAAATTTAAATCACCTTTTTACCACACTATAGGCGTTATGGTTTAAGGGGGGGGGAGGGGAAATGGTGCAAAAAAAAAAAAGGGGTGGAATCCAGCCTTTTGATGCTTCACCGCCTCCCGCCGAATAATACATATAATAACGGCTGAGAAGGAAAATTTCCCAACGCGGTGCCCCCTCCCGCCGGCCTCGGGC